CCTTTTCCCAGATTTTTTCCTTTGCAAAAAATAGAATCAACTCAACACCCAGGGAGGTGAGTTCCGTTAATTATCCTTTTCAGATAGAAAATAAGTAGCTAGGAGGAAAATGGGAATTCAAAGCCATGTTATGTTACTCTGTTAATGGCAGTAAGCAGCTCTAGAATGAAGGGTCATATTGAAGAAACTTAAGCAGTTTACAAACAGAATGTGGTCTGTTAAGGTTTACACTGCTCAGGAGGAGAGGAGTTTTTGCCAGAAACCCTTAGTCTTTGGCCATGTTTGAACGTTGCACAGAATGGGCAAGATTTCCATGTGACATGAACTGATTTCTCTATCAACAGTGGAATTCAACCTTTCTGTCTAAACTACTTTCAAATCCTACCTCTTCAGTGATAGTTTGTCATCTTTTGTTAGACAATTTTTAAAAAATCTCATCGCAAATCCTATTGAGAAAATATCTTTGGTGAAAATCTTTTATTGTATGTATTTAACGTGTACAAATGATGTTTTGACATCCATATACATAGTGAAATGATTGCTACAGTCATGCAAGTTAAATATGCATTTCCTCACATAATTACCCTCTTTTGCAGTAAGAGCACCTGAAATCTACTCTTAGAAAATTTCCAGTATACAATACAGCATTATTAACTATAGAACTTATGCTGTACATGAGATCTCTAGATTTATACATCTTATGTAACTGCAACTTTGTATGCTTTGACCAACATCCTTATTTCTTCCACCTCCATGCCCCTGTGTGTTTGACTTTTTAGCTTCCACATATGAGATAATGCAGTATTTTTCTTTCTGTGTCTGTTTTATTTCACTTAGCATAATACCCTCCGGGTTCATCCATTTTGTCATAAATAGGCTTTTATCAAAAAGACAAGGGATAACAAATGTTGATGAGGGTATGGAGAAAAGGAAACCCTGGTACATTGTTGGTGGGAATGTAAATTAGTACCCCATTTTGGAAAAGAGTGTATATTACTCAAAATATTAAAAATACAAAGACCATATGATGCAGAGATCCTTCTTCTGGGTGAATACCCAAAGGAAATGAAATCAGTATCTTGAAGAGATATCTACACTCTCATGTTCACAGAAACGTTATTCTCTGGCAAAAATTAATGCAAAAAATATTTTAGTTACTGCAGTAGCAAAGAGATTCATGAGTTTAGCCTATTGCACATAGCTGAGGAAATCAAGGTGTTTTGCATTGCTGTACCAGGGTAAAAAGTGATTGTGTGTGTATTTCTGTATATAAAGTATTATATAATTGTATATTTATACTTATCTATCTCTTCCATTAGGATAAAAGCCCCACGAGAGTGGGGACTTTGTCTATCTTGTCCAATTCTGAATCTCTGGAGCACAAAACAAATTATTGGCACATTAGTTAAATGAATGAATGGCATTGGGCACTTAAAATCCATTTGGTTTCATTTACAAACAGCAAAATTGCTACCACGATTCTGAATTTTGATAAAATAGTGCTTAAAAATCACAGACCTGTTTTAAAGATTAAACGAGGATTTCTGCTTTTAAAACGTACATTTAGATAGAAAAATAGTGTAAGCAAAGATACGTGAAAGTGCTTAACCCAGGATAGGAAACTCAATAATATTTAAGTTGACTTTAAGTCTAAAGATAGGTTTGAGGAGGAGTAGATGTTTTACCTAAACCAGCCTCAAATTGGACCTTAAGTGGTCCACATGCAAAACAGTTCTTTCTCTACTGCTCTGAATGGGGTGTTTTCTTGGGAGTATAGACAGTCATCTTGCAGGCAGCCAACAGACTACATTGTTCTCATCAGATGGTAGTATTGAGCTTGCCAGAAAATTTTACTTCAGTGGGGAACTCCTAAGGCTGAAACATTTTATCTGCAGGTCCAAAAATATCTTGACCTGGTGCACACAGCAGGGTAGGTAAGGAAAGGAACCATCATCTATAGAGAACCTACCATATGAACAGCTCTACCAGAGACTTCATTTGATTCCTACTTTAGCTTTATAATAAAAGTTAACATTCATTGAGTACTTACTGTCCTAAGTACTTTGCATGGATTAACTCAATAATTGCTCACATCAACACAAGGATGTATTTTTGTTTCCACCATTTGACAGAAGAGGACATCCAGGTACAGGGAAGTTAAACATGCTCAATGTTACACAATGTGTAAGTGGTGGAGCCAGTGTGAAAACTTACATGGTGTGGGTTCCAGTGTCCAGGCTTGGAACTGCCTCCATAAGAGAAGGGTTACTATCCTCATTATTTACTAAGGCTCAACAAATAAAGTGACTTCCAAGGTCACATTAACAGAGCTATCTGACTCCAAAGATGAAGATGCTTTACTTTTCCTTATATTGTTCTACTTCAATCTCACCTCAATAAAAATAAATCTAGCAGCTAACATTTATCAAATACTTACTACATGGCAGATATTATTTTAAGTGCTTCATGTGAATTATCTCATTTAATCATCATAGTAACACTCTGAGGTGGGGTTTTTATTAGCCCCCTTCTGTAGATGAAGGCATTAAGGTTGAGAGGAGTCAAGTAACTTATTAAGGTGACAAAGTAAATTGGTAGAATCAGGATTTAAAACTTGGTTTATTTGCCCAATGAGCTGAAGCTCTTATTCATTCTACCACAATATTTGCCTAGAAAGATTGCCCCTCCTTCCCAATAGTAGTCCCTCCCATCTCTCTTATTTTCGCTGAAGTCTTAGTACAAGGCTGAGACTACTCTTTCTCCTTATGTTGCTGGGTCTTCCAGGTCTTCAAGGGGAAGGTTGTAATAGTAAAGTCACTCCCAAATTCAAATGGTGTAAATATTGTACCCTTTGGAGTCAGGAATGAAGTACATGCTCACCATCAACTCAGATTTTTGTCAAGAGGAATGAGACTGATGGAAATAATCAATAGCTTTTTAAAAAAAACCAAACACTTATTGAGAAATAATTCATATACCATTTAGCGCACCCATTTAAAATGTATACTTCAATGGTTTCCAGTACATTCACAGAGTTGGACAACCATGATGACAATTTAATTTTATAATATTTTCATCATCCCCAAAAGAAACCCCATGCCTATTGTCCCTGAGCCTCCAGCCTTGACAACCACTAATCTGCTTTCCACCTTTATAGACTTGCCTGTTTGGGACATTTCATATAAATTAAATCATATAATATGTGGTCTTTTGTGATTGGATCCTTTCACTTAGCATATTTTCAAGGTTCATCAACATTGCATGTATCAGTATTTTACCAATTTTTATGGCTAAATAATACCCTACTGTATGGATATATCAAAGTTTGTTTATCCATTCCTCAGTAGATGGACATTTGGGTCATTTCCACTTTTTGGCTATTATGAGTAATGCCGCTTTAAACATTCATGTTCATGCTTTTGTTTGAACACCTGTTTTCGGTCCTCTTGGGTATATAACTAGGAATGGAATTGCTAAGTCACGTGGAAATTCTACGTTTAACATTTGGAGAAACTGCCAAACTGTTTTTCAATGAGGTTCATCAATTTACATCCCCATCAGCAATGTATGAGTTTTCCAATTTCTTCATTTCCTCACCAACACTTGTTATTGTTTGGCTTTTTGATTATAGCTATTCTAGTGGGTATGAAGTGGTAACTCATTGTGGTCTGATTTGCATTTCCCTAATGAATAGTAATGCTTGAGAATCTTTCCCTGTGCTTGCTAGCCAGTTGCATATTGCTATAAGCTGAATGTTTGTGTCCTATCCAAACTCATATGCTGAAGCCCTAATCCCTAATGTGATGGTATATAGAGGTGGGGCCTTTGAGAGGTAAATTGGTTTAGATGAAGTCACAAGAGTAGGCATTCATAATGAAATTATAATGCCCTTATAAGAAGGGGAAGAGACCAGATCCCTTTCTGTCTTTGCTGAGGACACAGCCACAAGGTAGCCATCTGCAAACCAGAAAGTGGGCCCTCACAAGGCATTGAATCTGCTGGCATCTTGATCTCAGATTTCCCAGTCTCCAGGACTGTGAGAAATAAATATTTGTTATTTAAGCCAGTCAATCTATGGTAGTATGTTATAGCAACCCAAGCATACTAAAACATATTTTCTTTGAAGAAATGTCTATTACAATCTGTTAACCCATTTTTAATTGGTTATTTTTATCATTGAGTTGTAGGAGTCCTTTTGTATTTTGAAATATCTGATATGCAAATATTTTCTCCCATTCTGTTGCTTATCTTTTCACTCTTTTAATATGGTATATCTTTAGCACAAAAGTTTTTAATTTTGATTTACTCCAATTTATTTCTACTTCTTGTATCACTGGTGCAAATTGTCTTAACATTAGGAAGACTCACTACAATGTTTTCTTCTAAGAATTTTGTAATTTTGACTCTTATATTCTGTGATCCATTTTGAGTTGATTCTTGCATGTGATTCAAGGAAAACTTCATTTTTTCCCATGTAGATACCCAGTTGTCTCAGCACCATTTGTTAAAAAACGATTTATTCTCTCCTCAATTTCTCTTGGGACCCTTGTTGAAATTAACTAGCCATATACATGAGGATTTACTTCTGGACTCTCAATTTAATTCCATTTATTTATACATCTATCCTTGTGTCTGTATCACACTGTCTTGATTACTGTAGTTTTGCAGTAAGTTTTGAAGTTGGGATGTATAAGCCCTCCAACTCTGTTCTTTTTAAAGATTGTTTTGACTGCTCTGGGTCCCTTGTAATTCCATATGAATTTTAGAATCAGCTTGTCAACTTATGCAAGGAAGCCACTGGAATTCTGATAAGCATTGGATTGAATCCTTAGATCAATTTGGGGGCACATTTCATCTTAACAATCCTAAGTCTTCCAATCCATGAACATGGAGTGTCTTTCCATTTATTTTGATCTTCTCTAATCTCTTTCAACAATGTTTCATAGTTTTCAGTGTAAAAGTTTTGCACTTCTTTTGTTAAATTATTCCTGTTTTTTTTCTTTTTGATGCTATTGTAAATGGAACTGCTTGCTTGCTTGCCTTCTTCCTTCCTTCCTTCCTTTCTTTCTTTCTTTTTTTTTTTTTTTTTTTGAGACAGAGTCTCGCTCTGTTGCCCAGGCTGGAGTGCAGTGGTGCGGTCTCAGCTCACTGCAATCTCTGCCTCCCAGGTTCAAGCAATTCTCCTGCCTCAGCCTCCTGAGTAGCTGGGACTACAGGTGCGCGCCACTACGCCTGGCTGTTTTTGTATTTTTAGTAGAGGTAGGGTTTCACCGTGTTAGCCAGGATGGTCTCGATCTCCTGACCTCGTGATCCACCTGCCTTAGCCTCCCAAAGTGCTGGAATTTCAGGAGTGAGCCACCGCGGCTGGCCAGAACTGTTTTCTTAATAACATTTTAGGATTGTTCATTTGATCTCGTGTTTTAACCTTGTATCCTGCAACTTTCCTGAATTCATCCAGGCAGGTAGTTGTGAGCAACATGAGAAGAGCAAGAATATGCCTGGGATAAGGAGAAAATGAATCGAGTAGATCAGGACTATAATAATGGTTACCACGTACTGAATATGTTTTCAACAAGTCAGTACTTTCCATGCTCTAATATGTTCATGAATCTCCTGGAAGTCTAGTTAAAATTCAGACTGCTATCACTGGGTTTGGGGTGGGCCTGGGATTCTGCCTAATAACTTATTGGATTGTTAGTGGCTTTTATTTATTATTTTCAAGTTACAATAACTCTGCAAGCAAAATAATACTGTTCCCATTTTACAGATAAGAAAATGACCTCAGAAGTTGAGCTAGTAGCCCAGGTTCATTGGATAAGTGGCAGAACCAGGATTTGAACACAGTTCATTCTAATGCCAAAGCTGGACTCTTTCTATTCTGCCACACTGGATATCTTGAGTAGGAGGAGGATAGTTGGAATGTGAACAGAATATGGATCAGGAAAAAAGAAAGTTTTTCAATGTCAGAGTTGCTACCTGGAATACATTTGAGTCTAATCTTTGAGGTTGCCTTGGAGAGCAGATCAGCAAGGCCCTTGCTTTCCAGGGAGCCAAGCGTGAAGGTGTGAGACTGGACTATCAGCTAGAAGTAAGATGAAACTACTAGATAGAATTCAAGATTGGAAGAAGTCTAGAAAGAACATGGCTTACCTTCGATCAGGCTAGACTCCAGAACTGGACTCTGTATACTGCTTAGGTCTATACCTGAGATTACACCCATTGTTGACTTTTTCTGCATTCTTAACATGGGGTTAGACTGGTTGTGATGTTGTCACTGAGTAACCAGAGAGGAAGAAATATATCCGTAAGCTAAAGGGCAGAGCTGTGATCCTGAGGTCCTTCTAAGTAGAAAAATACCATGTTTCAATACTGTGATAAAACAACAGAAATATCCAATGGCTTGAACTCTGTGCCCTCTACTCAGGATGCTCTTGAAATAGATGTCTAAAAGCTGATCGCCTAAAAAGGCTATGGCAGATTCTGCTATTTAATTGGGGATGATGAATGGTACAGCATCAATACCATCCCTCAGAGGCCAGGGAAAGGGTTTAGGGATGTGGGTAATGGTCTGGTCATATGTTTATCTGTGAAGGACTATGGATAGGTGACCAAATTCCTTTCCAGTATTTCTCAGCAGAATCTTTAGGCTTCCATCACCTGAGTCAAAACACAGGATATATATTTTTTTGTCCTTAGCACCTTTTATTGAAATATGACCCTTGATGACAATCTGGCAGGCATATCTATGTCAGCCAAGAAGGGAGTGGTGGAGGACACAAATGCAGAAACAATAAGATTCGGAAAAAGAATAGCTTCACATGGGATAGATGACCCCCAACAGCTGTACAACCAACATTGGTTCTTCATCTATAGAAACTGCCCCCGTCCCACCCCCCACAAAAGATCTACTAATCTTCAAATAATATAATATGCTGTTGCAGAAATATTATTGGCATAGACAACTCCTCTGGCAAAGACAGTGGGAGTTACCAAGCTCCAAATGGGTGCAAGTGGCCAGAAATGGGCCCAGGTTCCTCCATCTGGGGCCTGCTACTGGCAGAGCAGCACTGTCAGGGAGGGTTGGGTTCAGGATGTGGCTCTGGTGTGCCTGGGCAGCTTTTTGGCACACGAGGTTAAATGGAAAACAGAACCTGAACCTAACCTTGAAAGAGGCTTTTTATCTTTTCACCTCTCCTTTTCTCTGCTTCCAATTTCTTCCTTTCTAGGGCTTTATTTTCAGTGTCTCTGTCTTATTCTGTCAGATTCTACTTGGGCATTTACGACTATATCCTGGCTGAGTCTCCAGCTGTGGGACTCAGGGAGATTCAATTATCCAGAGCCCCGGGAGGTGGCAGGAGGGGTTGGGGGGACATGTGATAGTAACTCACGCATTGACTTCTCTATCGATCAACCATCATGCTTGCCTATTACCCATGGGACCTATATAAGTATTTGAAGGGAAAGAGCAGAAGTCAAGACCAATAACTGTCTTTGGGGACCTCCCTTGGCCTGCCTTCCAAACTGCTACTCACCGGCAGGCCGTGGAGGAGGGCTGAGCCCAGGAACTGAGAACAGGGGAGAGACACTGCATCTCAAGTAATACTGGCAGCTTTGCAGCACTATCACACACAATGAGATTGCCCTGGCAGGAGTGTGGCACGCCAGTGTCTGTTTAGCAGTTCACCTTTATCTACCAAGCTTCACTGCAAGGTATACTTTTGGGGTTATTTTTTAAGTGCTTTGGCAACTTTCCCTCCATGTGAAAATGAGCATCCTTGTGTTCTGATTCCAACTCTAGAAAGTAATTTGAGATGGAATTAAGAACAAAAATAATAGAGTTAATAGTTTTTTTTTTTTTTTTTGAGACGAAGTCTCACTCTTGTCCCCCAGACTAGAGTGCAATTGCATGATCTCGGCTCACTGCAACCTCTGCCTCCCAGGTTCAAGCGATTCTCCTGCCTCAGCCTCCCGAGTAGCTGGGATTACAGGTGCCTGCCAGCACGCCTGGCTTATTTTTGTATTTTTAGTAGAGACAGGGTTTCACCATGTTGGCCAGGCGGGTCTTGAACTCCTGACCTCAGGTGATCCACCCGCCTCAGCCTCCCAAAGTGCTGGGATTACAGGCGTGAGCCACCGCACCCGGCCTGGAGTTAATAGTATTTTTGGTGTCATAAACTTAAGGTGCAACCAATCACATGCTGACTAGAAAAACTCAGACTACGGCCATAGTGTCCAGGTAAGTGACCATTCTTTTCCCTAGGCCCATATTCCCAAAAAGGTGTTCTAGCCAACAAATCGGAAAATGATGAAACATATCAGCCTCATCCTCCCAATAGAGGACATCTCAATTTGCTCATTCTTTGTCCTAGAGCCTGCTCAGAAGAAAAGATGACAACTATGGCCTCCATTGAAAGCACTCCTCTGCCTTCTCAATCTTGGCTGGCTTGTGTAAGCCTCGCCCTTGCAAGCCACCAGCCTTCCTGAATAAAGTAGAATCTTCCACTGGAGGGGAGAATGGCAGGGTTGCCATTCTAACAGTGTTTCTGGCAGCAGTACTAAGAGCAAACCCAGGGCTCCACAGAAAGGTTTACTTACCCCACCCCCCACCCCAGGACACCCTGCTGGCCAAGATTCTCCCATTGTTTTCAAACACAATGAAGAGGAAATGGAAGCTAATGACAAGTATTTGTAACAGCAGCAAAAGTTCCTTGGTAAATTCTTTGGTTGAATGAGACATCCCTGCTGCTACAGTTGACCTTCAAGGACCCTGAGGAACTCAGCAGTAACTAGAAGGGATGCCAGGCCTTGGCTAGGTTGTGTGATACCAAGGATTGGCCCCAGTTAGTGAGGAACAGGGAGCTGAGCTGGATAACAGGGCAGCATTTGGTCATAACCCCCTTCTTGCTATCATCCACCTAAGGGCTGCTTTTCCAGCATAGAAACTAGCTACTGGTGTCAAGGCCTTGGCAACAGCAGCAGTTTTAGTTGTTTGTATGCCTAAGATCCTGGCTGGGTCATCAGTTGCTCTGGGGAGCTGGCTCTGGCTGGAGCTCCCAGCTACCTTGAGTTTTGGTTCCCTTGAGCCAGGCCACAGGCTGAGAAAGCAATGGTTAGAGGAGTTCCTCCTGAGCTCACCTCTACTCATCCCATAGCTTGGAGATGGTAGGGAAATGGCTGAATCTTTCTCCATTTCAGGAGATTTCTTTGGTTTCAAAAAGAAATCAGTAAGAAAAACTTGAACCCTGCTGGGGAATGCTAAACTCACAGTCACTTAGACTTTAAAGGAAGCACAAGACCAGGCCACAGTAGGGAGGCTCTGAGTTCAAGGGGAGAACTCCTTCCTAGACATTGGTGGCTATGGTGGGAACAATTCAATGCCTTGGCACTTGCTTACCTAGCCACGGTGGATTCAGGCTGATCTGCAGAAAATGCTTTCCTTCTGGGCTAACTTTTCCCTCTCCAACTCCCCTCTTCTCGCCTTATTAGTTAAAAAAGAAAAAAAATAATCAAAACACAAAAATAAATAAAATCAAAAGGCCATTTAAAATATAACAATAAGAACCCCCTCCCCCAATAATGAAACCTATATCTAGAAGTCAATTTTAGTAGAGCTATTAATGGCCCATATGGTGAAGCCCTGGGGTAGGCACCTGGGCTAACCCCCAGCAATGTAAAGGAAAGATGAAACAAGAGGTGGTAGGACCAAAGTCTTAGGACAGGAAGAGGGTAACATTAGCCAGGGCTAAGACTAGGCCTCTTCCCCTGAACTTGCTGCTGGGAAAGGTAAGGGTAGAGCTGATTTAAAACTGGTTCCTTCCTAAGGAGCACCTGGGGGTACTCAACCTTTGCTTTGTTTTTTCAGTGTAATTCCTCCCTCTGTGCTTTCCCCTGCAAAGCTTGGGTGAGGCCCTGAAACTGGTGCCAGGTGAATGCCCTTAAGGCAGCCAGCTCTCCGTGAGAAATGGCTGGGCCACAAGCCCTGGGGCAGAGTAGAGTTGCAAGGCAGCTTCCCTTTGAGCCTTTAGAGGCTGTTGATGATATGGGTGGGTGATGAGCACTTGGTGTCTTTGGTGTCCTAGTACAAAGCAGAATGAAGGCACTTCCTTGGTTCTCTGTGCAGCAAGTACTTGCCCTTGGCAACTGTGGGAAGGAGAGTGTGGTTGTAAGATCACACCTTGCTGCAGCTCCCTTGGGTAGAAGCTTGTGGCTTCCCCAGGGTCTCCTAGCTGGTTAGGATCACTGCTAGGGAAGGGGCAGTGAGAGACATCCAGGGTAGAGGGCTGGAACAAACTGCTAATTGCTATCTACTTGCTGAGAAACTGCTAACAAAGATTGAAAGCACTTCCCACTGTGGCTGGGCAGGGATGCTGTGGCAGAGTGCTGGTAGAATTAGAAATTGCTGGGCCCCAGGAGTAGACTCTCCCTGAGACATTTGAGCTGCTCTTCCCCAAGCTTGATCTTCTCCTCCAGCTCTCGCTGTTCAATGATGAGAGCAGATTTCATCTTGACAAAGTGCTGGTAATCTTGGAGCTGGTCCTGAGGCAGGTAGCGGGAGACCATGCCAAACACCAACTTCTCCCGGCGGTCCACGTGCTCCTTCAGCTCCTTGGCATCTGCCAACTGCCCCGTCAGCTGCTGCTTCTTCTCTATCAGCACCAACTGGGGAAGCAGAGGACCAATTAAGGACTCTCCCAATTACCAGACATCTGTCCAACAGTGCTGCCTAGCAGTACTCCACCAGAGATGCTGCCACAAAGCGGCTATACATTCTGCTAATTAGTCAGTCCTAGATTTTCTGCCCTGAAGTCCACCTCCATGCAAAAGCCTTTGCTTCCTGTAGCAGGAGGGTAAACATGACAACAATTCTGGATAGGGGATGTGAAATCACCTCTTTCCATCCCTTTAAGGCTGTCTTCAATGTAGGGACCACCACTGGGCTTGGGGTAGAGGAAGGCTCTGACAAAGCCAGCCTGTGTCCCTTTCATCTGGTGAACAACTGTCACTGTGGAGGTACTTTCTGTATGGTGTGTGTGTCTGTGTGAGTGGATATGTGTGAGTATATGTGTCCATGTATGTATGTATATGTATGTGGATATGTGCCTCTTGTTGTGGATTCAAAGGTATATCCAGAGCCACTTGCATAGGGAAAGGTGAGGCAATTTTGTTTCAGGAGTATATGCATAGTGACCCAACCTGTGAAACTGACAGCTTTCCAATCTCAACTACTTGATGAGACCTCCCCCTCCAACTCTAGAGTGAGGCAAAACTGCTGCTGCTACTACTACTACTGGGAGTTAGCATTGATTCAGTGTTTACCCTGTCCCAGGCCCTGTTTTATGTAATTAACATAAACTAATTTAATTCTCACAATAATCCCATAAGGCAGGTAGTATGTTCACCTCATTTTATAGATGAAGAGATTGAGGCAGAGTGACATTACGTGAATTGTCCACAGTCACACAGCTAATAAATGGTAGGGCAAGAATTTCAGGGCACTTAAAAGCCAGTGTTCACACTCGTGTTTTTTCTTTTCTTTTCTTTTCTTTTCTTTTTTTTTTTTTTTGAGACAGGGTCTTGCTCTGTCACCCAGGCTGGAGTGCAGTGGCACAATCTTTGCTCACGGCAGCCTCCGCCTCCCAGGCTCAAGCAAGCCTTCCACCTCAGCCTCCGGAGTAGCTGGGATTATAGGCATGCACCACCATGTCAGGCTAATTTCTGTATTTTTAGTAGAGATGGGGATTCACTAAGTTGCCCAGGTTGGTCTCAAACTCCTGGACTGAAGCAACCTGCCTGCTTTGGCTTCCCAAAGTGCTGGGATTATAGGCATGAGCCACCGTGCCCCTCCTCAGTGCTCACACGCTTTTAACCCTATGTTCTACTGTTTCCCATAGTAGCCCAACTTGAAAGAGGGAGCCTTGAGAAGAAATAAATGGCATTTCCCTCTACCCACACCCCAGAGACCCCAACTCTACCTTCTCCTGGTTGGCTTCTGAATCGATGCTGTTGAGAGCATTCTCCACCCGGGCCAGTCGTCCAGAGAGTGACAGCAACAGGTTGACCACTTTGTCCAGGTCCCCAACAAACGAGCGGTACTTTTCAAATTCATTGGATTTGCAGACGGCTTTTAAGTTGGCCTCCACCTCCTCCCCAAGGGCAGAATTGGCATTGATGTCCTCTAGCAGCCCTCGCTGGGCCTCCCGCAAGACAGAAAGTTTTCTGCTGATGCTTTCAATAAGCTGTATCTAGGGGAATTAAATAGGAGAAGACAAAGGATGAGAATGGAAATCAACAGAAACTGATTTGTGCCTGTAACCTCTGTTTTGGAATCCAAGGAACAGATGGTGGGCTCTATCCTAGTCACTGGAAACAAAGGAAACTTGGGCAAGTCATGAGCAACTCGTCTTTTGGGCAAGCGCCTTCTATCCATCTGGTAGGGATCTCCATGTCACCACCAAACTTTTTGGCATTGGGTAAGTGGTACCCATGCACTAAGCTTCATTTACCAAATGCAACTTAATAAATACTTGCTGGGACTTTTTTTTTTTTTTTTTTTTTTTTTTGAGATGGAGTCTTGCTCTGTTGCACAGGCTGGAGTGCGGTGGCACCATCTCAGCTCGCTGCAACCTCCGCCTCCCAGGTTCAAGCGATTCTTGTGTCTCAGCCTTCTAAGTAGCTGAGGTTACAAGTGCATGTCATGGATGCCAGGGCTAATTGTGTGTGTGTGTGTGTGTGTGTGTGTGTGTGTGTGTGTGTGTATTTTTAGTAGAGATGGGGTTTCATGATGTTGGCCAGGCTGACCTCAAGTGATCAGCCCCCCTCAGCCTCCCAAAATGCTGGGATCACAGGTGTGAGCCTCTGCACCCAGTCCTTTCCTGGGACTATTTAATAAATAGGAGCTACAGTCCTTGTGAGAGCCTAGGATAGAAAAGCATTTGCCCTAAGGTATTTGCCTATCACTTCATTCATTCTCCTTCAATCCATTTAAGTACCTCTCAAGTTCATGGCACTTTGCTAGATCTTTGCTTCCTTAGCTCGGCTTTTGAGGCCTTTTGGTAGGACTGTGAGTTCTGGAGTTAAAACGACTGGGTTTGACTTATAGCTTTGCCACTTCGTAGCTGTGGGACTTTGGGTAACTTGACATTATTGAGCTTCACTTTCTTTATCTGTAGGATGGGGATAATTGCTTTATCCACTGCCTTGAGTCATAATAAGGAGTCAATGTGATTACGCATGCAAAGTGCTTGGCCTATAGTACGTGCTGCATAAAAGCTAGGCTGCTATTATTTATTACTCAGTCTGGCCCCACCTTGCCATTCTAATGTCCCTCCTCAGAGCCTTTCAGAATTAGCTCCCCACTCTCCTCTGTGTTCACAACGCTCATTCTTGTGTTCCTGAGTAGCTTATGCAGTTCCACCTCCTCTTTATCTCTTTCTTCATTTTAGTTACTCCTAAATTTCTTCAGGGGACAGCTCTGCCCCTCCCGTCCCCTCCCCTCCCCCACAGGAAGCCCTCCTCTGTAAGTCTTCTCTCAGTGATCTTTTTTTGTCTGCGCTTTTAAGTATTTTAGAATTAGAACCCTACAGTGTAACTTGAAGTTCCTCACTTTCTATTCTGTGTGTGTGTCTGATCCCTCACCTGCTATTGATTGTAAGTTTCTTAAGGGAAGTGCTGTCTGTGTCTTCTGATTTGTCTCCCCTATAGGTGAGTACAGTCACAGGGAAGTACAGTGGAGTTTTAGAATCAGGGACATCTGAATTCCAATTCCACCTCCAAACCCTATGGCCTTAGGATAGATACCTAATCCCACTAAGACTTCTGTTTCCTCATCTGTAAAGTGGACACCTCCCCAACTCCAGAGATTTTCTGATGGTTAAATGAAACCACATAAGTAAAAGACTTAGTATTATGACTGGCACTTAAATGCACAATGCATGTTTACTAATGCTATTATTATTATTAAATTAGTTCTACAACATACTCCAAGCTAATAGATACTCGTCTAGCTGCAAGGTTATGACAAGAATGGCCCTGTCCTAGGCTGCCCATAGCCTCTGTAGCCAGTATTGCTTTGTGGTTAAGAGCACAGAGACTTCAGTGCCAGACTACCAGAGTTTGAACTCCTGCTCTGCCGCAAAGCAGTGGTATTATATACAACCTTGAGCAAATTACTCAACCTCTCTGCACATCAATTTCCACATCTAAAAACTAGGAAAACAAGAGGACCTACCTCATAGAGTTGTTATGAGAATTAAATTAAATTATCTTGTACATAGGAGTATGCTTCAGCGTGTGTTTTAATCTTATTCTAGCCCAAGCACTGGGACCACAGGCTTGTAGTTTTCTGGAATGTATTCCTCTCTAGTAGTTTATTTAGAGATGTCCAAAGTGACCAAGACTAAGAAAGCCTCCTCCAGGTTTCAAGACCTGTTGTCATATTTCAGAACTCTTCAAAAGTCAGGAGATCACCATGATCTCAGTCTGAAGTATAATAGGTTTGCATCTGGGGAAAATTCCAAAACCCACTGGGAACTGGGGATCAGTGATATGAATAAGGCAACACAATTAGATGCCAAGAGGCTGCCAGTTATATTCCCACCATCAGCTCTCCCAAATAAAAGTCAATGCTGGGGACAAAGGATGGCTGGGGGCCATCTGGAAAATGATCCACTTGGAAAATCACCTTCCCACCCCAGTTCCCAGGCTTCAGGGACAGATGGAAGGATAAAAGTGGAGAGAGCCCTTTATTTCTTGGAACTTGTGCTCTACAACCTGAACCTCAATCCTGGGGAAGTATGGTAGATAGAGTTGTGGAGTCATCACAGATTCAGCCAGAGCTGAGTTGTTTTTTTCTGGGACATCACAAATTGGTGACATTCCTCACCTTTCTTCCTGAGAGACAAAAACTGTCATAGCCCACCCACCATCACTTGAGTTCACTTTCTGTTGTTCTGTGCTCTGCCATTTCTGATCATCTTTCTCTTTTCCTGGTCAGACTTCTTTTGTTAGGTTTGTCCCCGTAGATGCCAGGCCCTGAGTAAGCTAGGAGTACCCCTGCTCAGGGAACATGGAATCCAAGGAAGCAGACATCTGCATCAATAAAACTTTAACACCACCGTGCTTCCAATTCTTCCCCTGACATTTTGCTTCAGATGGAAAATTGGAGGAAGGACTCTTGCAAATGGCCCTTTACCTTTCTACGGGTCATGTCCTGAAAGAAATATGGGCAGAAGAACAATTTACAATGAGTTCAGATGTCCACAAAGAGGTAAATTGAGCCTTTGAGGTTGCCATGACAACCCTATTTGCTTATGAAATACAATAGGTAAGTGCAGGGAGGGGAAAGTGATTCCAAGAATTCCATTAGAAAACCAGACTAGTGGTACTTAGACAAAGAAAGGAAAGCTTTGGAACAACAACAACATCATCATCTCCACTTAACTATTTTGTACTTTTAAGACATAATTGACTATCCTTGCAAATAAATACTAAAGTTTGCCAGCCTATAATTTGTCCTTATTTTAGTCTCTTCTGTCTCCCAGAAAGTTGCACAAAGAACAAAAACCAATGGCACTGCCATTGGTTAGAAGAGCCCACTGGCAGAAACTCTGATGTGCCCTGGGTAGTGAGTTACTTACAAGGCTGACTTAATTCAGAGAGACAGCATGTACTGTAGAGTAGAAATTCAGGCCGTCTTGACCTCAAGTGCTGGATCTACCATTTAGTCTGTAACCCCTGGGCAAATTAGTCCCTTCAACTAGTAAAAAAGGGATAATAATATCTGCCTTGTTGGGCTGTTCTTTTTTTTTTTTTGAGATGGAGTTTCACTCTTTGTTGCCCAGGCTGGAGTGCAGTGGCGCGATCTCAGCTCACTGCAACCTCTGCCTCCCGGGTTCAAGCAATTCTCCTGTCTCAGCCTCCCGAGTAGCTGGGATTACAGGTGCCCGCCACCATGCCTGGCTAATTTTTGTATTTTTAGTAGAGACGGGGTTTCACCATGTTGGCCAGGCTGTTCTCAAACTCCTGACCTCAGGTGATCCACCCGCCTTGGCCTCCCAAAGTTCTGGGATTACAGGCATGAGCCACCGCACCCAGCCCTTGTTGGGTTGTTCTAAGGATCACAGAGACAATAATGATGATTATGACTGTTATTATTATTATTGACTGGATCAAAAATAGACTGGAATTGGATCTGTGAGAAACCCAGAGAGGCTGTATGATTTCCATACTGAAAATATGGGAATGCAAGATGTTCTAGAGAGTGTAGAAGGCTGGTCATCCCAGACACATTCAAGCTAAATTCTGAAAATCTCTAGGGCACATCAAAACACTTTACCTTTTTTTGAGCCAGTTCATGGTCAACTTCCTCCTCTCCTAGGCCAATCTCTGCCATCTCAGGTTTGTCTTTCAGTTTGTTCAGCAGCTCTGCCTTGGCCACAGAAATATTGTAATAAGCCGAGTAAGAGGTAGGGATTCCTGGGGCCCCTGGAGGAGGCGAAAAGGGCTGAAACTCTTGTCTGTGGAAAGAAAGAATGACCATTTGAGCACCTCTGCTGAGAGATTGCTGACATTTCTGCTTTTTACTTACTCCATCTGAAAAATGGAACCCTGCTTCACCAAGGAGCTGAGAAAAATGGAGAAGGCACTGTTCAAACGTAAACAGGCCACATGAAGGCAAACTGGAGTTAAGGCAAGTTTTAAGAACTTAGAAGGCTATTTCCATGCCCCTGACTTCATTGGCTAGGGGGACTTCTTTCGAGATCATATGGTTTGGTCATTAACACTCAATTAAAATCCAGAAAAACTGGCAGGCCCTAAAAGTTCTGGACTTCTGATCACCATCCCTTTGGTGCATGGCCCCAGTATGTGGATCCCAAAGTAGGGGCTAGGTGGTAGAGAAGTATCTGAGACTTTAGCTATTGGTTCTCCAAGCCTGTTGGCTTCCCTCAGACCTACGCCTGGATCTCAACCCATCCTGGCTCTATCTAGTCTTCTTGCATACAAAGGCACCCTGTGGCTTTCCTGGACACTCGCATCATTTTCTCTTTTCCAATGCCACTCCTACTTGAAATGGACCCTCTGCTGCAGATCTCTCATAGCAAAGAGGTCACCCATGACCTCAACAGTGGCCACCATGTTGGAGGCTGTGGTTAGCACCCTGCCAGGGACTTGTCACCGCCCAGCACATATCTCATGAGCTCTTCTGACACTGCCTGCTGTAGGGCAGGCCTTCAGCCTGAAAAGGGATAGCATCTCTCCACTTCTGGCATATTCCCAATGGCTCCTGCCTCCTCCATGGTTGTAGAATGAAATGGGGAAAAAAATGGAACCAGTTGGCACCCAGGGGCTTGACAAGTGTAGCAGCAGACCCTGTTGTCTTGGGTTCACCAAAGCCTGTGGGACTGAGGCATTGCTTCTCAGAGCCCCAGCTCATGAAATAGAACTTCTTCTCAGGAAAAAAAGTAGTTCTGGTTCCATACTGGCTTGGGTTTGGCCTCTTCTGCCATCAAAGCTTCCGGTCTGGTATGAGGAAGGAAGTAGAGAGAAATGCTACAATGTCAGGTCTCAGCGAGGGAGGGGCAAATAATTTCGCCCATGGTTTATGCTAGGGAGTGGTCCACCCTCACTATATTCTCACTGCCTGCTAGCCACTCCCATCCTCCACCTGTTTGTGTCACTACCCCTTCACTAACCTCTAGCTGTTTGAAAGGGAAAATAGGAGAAACTCATTAGTCATTTTTGCAGCTATTTGCAATTCTTAGATAAAGGTCAAAAATAATGGTTAAAAGGCTCCACAGCTATTTACTGATTCATGTTATGCTGTCTCCTAATTCATCACACAAAAGAAAGTTTGGCACACCAATATTCTTTATCCTAGGTAAATTCATTTATATGTAAGTTTCAAGCTTGTAACACTGATAAAAGAACAATACTAGTTAACATGCACACCATATTTACCATGCCCCAGAAACCATCCTAAGATAGATACACACACACACAGGTATATAAATATACAATTGAATGTTCATGAAAACCATTATACAGATAAGGAACATGAGGCAACAAGAGGTAAAGTGACTTCCCCAAGGTCACCAGACATTAAATGACAGACCTGCGATTTGCACCTGGACAACCCGACTCTAGAATCTGTGCTTCAAGCCACTATGCCATCCTGCCAAAGGGACAACTTGAGATCATATAAAAGCCTACATGTAAGGAATTTTCTGGCTGGAGTATATCTATGTTAGCAGATAATAGAGAATATTCTGGAGGGAATATGAAGGTCTGAACTTAGGGAATTCCTATCTACAAGAAAAATATCTAGGGTGCGTGTGAAAGTTCTGTGTCAGAAGGTATTACAAAGGAAAAAAAAGGATGTGCTACTTGGAGACTCAGTTCCCCAGCATAAACATCCCTGCATCATATTACAGTATATCATATTAGGCACTATGTTCTAGGGATCCTTTCCTTATCACTTCCATTAACAGGGAAGGGATTATAGGTGATCTATGAGAACATAATTGGAATTTGATAGTAAACATCAAAGCAAAAATCGGATTCCTTTCACAGGGCACTGAGAGGAAATGCATAGAGTCCATAAAGCAAGCTATACCTATACCTGAATCAGAGTTATTAGACTTAAATAATACTTGATTATTCCACTAACTGGCTTCTGTGTGTACCCAGCATTTTTTAATAGAATAGTATATAGGTTATATAGGTACTAGAGTTTAACTTGGCTGAAATTAGGATGTCTTTGTTTGCATTTTAGATTCAAAATATTATGCATCTATATGTCCCTTACAAAATCTTAAAGCTGCTTCCTTCTGGCTAGGACACTGTCCTCTCCTAGGGTCTGGAACAGAATCTTCTTCAAGAGCCCAGAGATCCTGGGATGATACAGCAAGCATAGTGAGCTACCTGAGATCTTGTGATAAAGTTACTTTATCTCCCTAGGCCTCACCTTTCTCGTCTAAGAAATGGAGAAGATGAATGGTAACTATTTCACAGGTTTACTTTGATGATTAAATCAATTAATACACAAAGTGCTTAGAACAATGCATGGCACATAGTAAGCAATCAAAAAAATATTAGCTATGTTGGGAATGATGCTGTTCCTTAAATTTCCGTCACTCAAAGGAGCATCTAATTGATTTTGTAGCCACAAGCAGAGCTGTGTGCAAACAAATGTTTTCCCTTACATCCCATAGTCATTTAAAATAAATCTCTGGAGCAAGTTACAAGATCTCTAGTAATAGTGATTTCTTTCTGTCTGACCAAGGTACTAAGGCAAAGTGAGCTACATAAAGAAGGAAGAACCAGGGCCTGTAACTGCTGCCTCTGGTACACCTTGCCCTACAGTAGAGAAGAGGACCCTGTGACTCTGGCCTATGGGAAGAACAAGATCTCTCTGGGAGAGGCTGCCTAGGAAGGCAAAGTAAGCATTGGCTTTGGAGTCAGACAGCCCTGGCTTTGAATCTTTGCTGTGTAACTTGGAATTAGTTTCCTCATCTGTCAAATGGGGATAATAATGGCTAATAGGGCTATTGGAAGGATTAAATGAAATAATGGACACATAACATCTAGCAGTATCTGGTATATAATAAATACTTAATAAATGTTCATCCATTCATTTATTTGTTCTGTCTTCTTAAATATTTGTTAAGTGCCTACTATTTGGAGGTCATTTTCCCTTTTCCCTGCTATGATAGATAACAATCACAGGTATTTTTCACAAAGTTTTCTAATTACAATGAGAATGCTCCCCAGGTAGAAGAACAGCTTGAGAAGTAGCCACACGGGATCTAAGGACGGATTCTTACAGTGCCTGGGAGCCAGGCCCTGTAAATGCTGTGCTTATGGCATCTTGGGCTGGAAAACTGATCAACTAGCTCCAGATAGCCAATTCACAGATTTGTCTGTCAATAAAAGACATGATAACAAGGTACTTCTAACCACAACAAGTCTCAGGCAAATTCCTGCTATAAAGAGAGTTAAAGAAAGCACTCATAAGCCACCTGCCTCCCGAACCTCAGCCCTAGCAGAGAGTGGGCTGAGCTCTCCACAGGAGAGCAGGCGGAGCCGGTGACAGCCAGAGCGCTGAGCAATAATAGCAATGATGGTCCTGGAGCTTTTGCTTTGGAGCAAAATAAATTTAAAAAAAAACCAGTCATGTACTGTAGGGCATGCAGATGACAACTGGCTCAGTGGAGTGAACAAACACTGGCAGTTCTGCTGCCAGAACACACTCTTGCTTTGGCCTCCCTGCCCAGGCAGCTCACCCTGTCAAATACCACCTATTACCCACCCACGTGAATGTAAGAGGCAGGTAAACAAGGAGGGGGAGAAAGTGGAAGAGAAAAAGAACGTCCTTAACTATTGTAAGGAATTATCAAGGCATAAAGCACCCAGTCCCAGGAATACCTGTGATGCTGGCGGTTGTTGGGGGAAGAGTTTAGAAGCCCAGGCTACTTGTCCTAGAGCAGAGGCAGGTCAGGTTGTGAGCTGGCCTCTTATTCTGGAGGGCAGTCAGAAGAGAAGACAGAAAAAATGCCCAAGCCAGGTTTCTGGGAAAGACCTAGTACAGGCAACAAGTGTTCAATGCCTTTGGGATCAGGGGCCAGAAATTGATGGTGATGGATACCGTGAAGACACACTAAGGAAAAGTACAGTATTTTAATAAAGATATTTAGGGATAAGAACATGATATTTACTGAGTATCTACTATGTGCTAAGCATGGAGCTATATCCTTTATGTAGATTATCTTAATATTCACAACAATCATGTGATGCAAGTATCATTATACCCATTTTCCAGGTAAGAAAACTGAGGCTGGGAGCAGTTTAATAGGCCAGCCTGAGGTCATCCAGTTAGGAAATGGTGGAGGTAAAATTCAAACTTGTGTTGCCTGCCTCTTCAGGGGCCTCGTATCTTTCATATGTACTTACTTGGCGGATTCAGCGGCTTCCTGTTCCGAGGTCCTCCAAAGCCCACCAATGCCATAGTAGCAAGGGGGCTGAGCCTGCTCAGGTTGAGATCCCAAGTGACCCCTTATTGGAGGCAGGAAGTCACTGGGATGGAGTGCAAAGGATTCTTGCTCTGCTGGGACACTTTGTGAACCCTGTCCCGAGCCCTCCAGGTGGCCAAGGCTGAGGGGTTGTGGCTGCTCCAGGACCTCCTCGGGATTGAGAGCACAGGAACCAGAGGTTTCTGAACTGAAATACTGGGGTGGCAGCTCCTCTTCCTCCTCCTCTGCCTCCTCCTCCTCCTCTTCCTCTTCTTCTTCTTCTTCCTCCTCCTCCTCCTCCTCCTCCTCTTCCTGTTGCTTCTGCTGCTGCTGTTGCTGCTGCTGTTGCTGCTTTTGCTGCTGGGCTGCACGAAAGAGCCTGTACTTCTCCCAGTTGGGAGGAGGAGGGCGAGGAGGAGGAAAGGCCTTCTTCCTGGCTCCGAGAAGATCTGACTGGGTCTCATCACCTTTGCTAAAGAGCTCCCTCCTATGCTGCCCCCAGGCCCGGGTGCTTTGGGGATCCAAGCTGATGTGACTCTCTGAGAAGGCACGGCTACGCAGTGGGTGGGGCATGGAGGCAAGGGAGCTCCCCTCCTCATAAACTGAAGTTTCCTCTGATTTTTTCAAAGCATGTTTGAAGTCTCCAAGGAGGTCAAGAGAAGAAATTGCTCGGTAGCTTGACAAGTCCAGTGCTGGGTTCTCAAGGCAAGGATGGAAAGGGGTTGCCCATGAAAAGCTATTCTTGGAATGAGCCATTTCCCTGCAAAACATCAGATGAGTACTGAGAAAAACAAGCAAGTTGCAGATAGGCCCATAGTTTGGATGACAACATTTATATAAAATTTAAAATGTCCACAAAACAATGTAGTATGTGTAGTAAATGTAATAATAATAGTAATAATAAGGATAGCTAACACTTACTGAGCATATACTAAATACTAGGCACTGTTTAAGTGTTTTCCATGTCTTCACTTATCTAATCCTTACAATAACCCTAGGAGGTAGCTATTACTATTGCACTGATTTTACAGTTGGGGAAATTGAGGCATAGAGCATTTAAGTAACTTGCCTGGGGTCATAAAGCTAGTACATGGTAGAGCTTGGATTTGAACTTGAACAGTTTGCTCCAAAGTCTGGATATACACACACTACCCCAGTCTGTTTATAGGAGTCAGATTGCATATGCTGTTTTCTGGGGCGTACAAGCCTGGTTATCCTGCCTCATCTGTTGTTTTTGTTTGTTTTTCATTATAAAAATTTCGAATATTTGGCCGGGTACGGTGGCTCACCACTGTAATCCCAGCACTTTGAGAGGCCGAGGTGGGCGAATCACTAGGTCAGGAGATCGAGACCATCATGTCTAACAAGGTTAAACCCCATCTCTACTAAAAATACAAAAAAAAAAAAATTAGCCGGGCGTGGTGGCGGGCGCCTGTAGTCCCAGCTACTCGGGAAGCTGAGGCAGGAGAAAGGCGTGAACCCGGGAGATGGAGCTTGCAGTGAGCTGAGATCGCGCCACTGCACTCCAGCCTGGATGACAGAGCAAGACTCCGTCTCAAAAAAAAAAAAAATTCGAATATTTAGAAATGTACAGAGATTGATTGCTATAATACCCATGTTCCTACCTATCACCCAGACTTAGTAAGTTTGAATACCTTGCCATTTATGTTTCATGAATTTTTCTTAAGAAATAAGAAATAATACCTACCCTTCACATAACTCTCCACTTCCATTCCCCTACTGTCTCTCTAGATGCAACCTGTATTATGAATTAGATATATACACTTTCCATGTTTTTATACTTGTAACAAAAAACACCAAACAGGTCATTCATAGTTATCTGCTATTTTGGATTTAAAATATCTCCTTCTGGCCAGACACAGTGGCTTATGCCTATAATCCCAGCACTTTGAGAGGCTGAGGTGGGTGGATCACTTGTGTCTAGGAGTTCAAGACTGCCCTGGGCAACATAGCAAGATCCTGTCTCTAATTTTTTTTTTCTTGTAATTAGCTGGGCATGATGGTGTGTGCCTCTAGTCCCAGCTACACGGGAGGCTGAGATGGGAAGACAGCTTGAGCCTGGGAGGTTGAGGCTACAGTGAGCCATCATTGCACCACTGTACTCCCGCTGGGGTGACAGAGTAAGATCTTGTCTCAAACAACAACAACAACAAAAAACTCCTTCTAATGTAATTCCAATCAGAATTCTCAATAGGAATTTTTAAACTACATTTGACTACAGAATTTTTAGAAAATTAACTTGTAATGAAAGCAGGATATAATATTAAAGAGTATTCTGCTACAGAAGAAATGGGGGAGGGGGTAAGTAAGGGATAAAGTATATTGTAAAATAATTGTAATTAAAACAGTGTGTTATTGATCAACAAAACAGAGTAGAAAGTTCAGAAACAAAGCAGACTACCTATAAAAATGTCATATACATAATCTTCCCCCAAAAAGGAGATAAAGAAATATTACTTAATAAATCTTTTTGAGATAACTGCAAAGCAGTGCTTTTTTGAGCTACATCATATATTATATACCAAAATAAATTCCAGATCAAGAGTCATGGATATGTGTGTGTGTGTGTATATATAATTTTAATATATTATATATGTTATAGGTGTATATATTATGCACATACATAACATAAGAAAAACCTACCAGAAAATTAAAAATTAAAAATTAAAAATTAATTAAAAAATTAAAAATTAAAATTAAAAAAATCATTTGAAGTGAAATAAGATTCTCATAAGCAATAGAAGAAAATCTCCAAATAAGTCCAGGTTTATTGGAATATACATAAAAATTCAAACTTCTGTATAATAAAGACTGACTAAAGTTAAAAGACATCTCTTTAGTCTCAGAGTATAAAGAGTTAAGCCCTCTAAGCCACAAGATCTGGTTTCCTGCTGTAGCCTGTGAGCAATCAGCATCATGCTAAGTCCTGCCCAGTGACAGGAAATTCCAGGGGTTCAATTAAATCATCATACAGAATATCCATCCAATAATCATGATGAGGATTGGAAATATTTCTTTAAAAAATAAGAATACACATAATGATAGCCAAACTCACACAGAATGGAAGGCAAAATGTCCTTGATTCTCCTCTTATCCCGCCCCCATTCTGGTCAGCTCACCACTCATGTGGATCAGAAATTCATATCCAGACATACCCACTATTTTCTTATTTGGGCCTTTGCAAACCTATAGATCATTAAGATTGTAACAATCCCTTTTGTGCAAACTGTTCCACCTGGCGTAATCTCTCTCTCTCTCTCTCTCTCTCTCTCTCTGACACACACACACACACACACACACACAAAGGTGATGGACAAATGGAAAGTAAAAAAATGACAAAAGTGTACCGGGCAGAGAAGCCTTTCCTGACTAGTTTATCAAAAATACAGGCAACTTATATTTAATTATCCTTATTCTACTTCATTTTTTGAGTATTCATCTTCATCCCCACCTAATATCATATCACATACCTATTTTTACTTGATTATTTTCTGTTCCAATCTCTAACTAAAATGTAAGCTCCATGAGGGCAGGACCTTGTCTGTCTCATTCATAGGTTTCTAGTGCCTGGCTCACAGTAGGTGTTCAATAAATATGTTTAACAAAGGAATTATGGTCAAAATTAAAGAAAAAATAAATTATGATACCCATTTAATACATAAGTTGAATTAAAGGCAAAATACAACAAATAAGACAAAGAAGGGCACTATAATGTTAACAACTAGAACACATGATGAAGATCTACCTCCTCTGATCTTTTATGCACCAAAAAACATAGCATAAAAATTCTTAAAGCAAAATCTACAGGAAATGCAAAGGTAGAAAACAAGTAGAAACAAAATATGAGACTGTTTCAGCTGATGACAGATCATGACAGTCAAAAACTAAGATAATGAGAAAGTCTAAATTTCTTCATATACTGAAACAGACTATATTTTTTTAATCAAGGGTCCATTGAGTATATTTTTAATTGGCTATATACTGAGCCAGAAAATGGAAGTAGTACAGACCATATTTTCTAATGACAATATGGTAACACTAGAAATTAATAACAAAATGAAAATTAAAATCTTTAGCATGTAGAGAATAAAGAGGGAAAAAATTCTTCCACTTTAGTCAAAGAGAAAATCTAATTTGAAATTGTTGAATATCTAGAAAATGACAACAATGGAAATATCAGAAGCTAGAGGATATGGTTGACTAAAGCAGTAGTTAAAGAAAAGCTTGTAGACCGGGTGTGGCAGCTCACTCCTGTAATCCCAGCACTTTGGGAGGCTGAGGTGGGTGGATCACTTGAGGCCAGGAGTTCCAGACCAGGCTGTCCAACATGATAAAACCCTGTCTCCACTAAGAATAGAAAAATTAGCCAGATGTAGTGGCATGCGCTTGTAATCCCAGCTACTCGGGAGGCTGAGGCAGGGGAATTGCTTGAACCTGGGAGGCGGAGGCTGCAGTGAACTGAGATCGCGCCAGTGTACTCCAGTGCTCCAGCCGGGTTGACAGAGTGAGACTCTGTCTCAAAAAAAAAAAAAAAAAAGAAAAGAGAAACTTGTAGCCTTAAATACTTATATTAGTATGTAAGAACGAATTAAAATAAATGAATTAAGCATTTAACAAAAGAAGAAAAGAATCATAAAAATAAACCTAAAACAAAGCAGAAAGATAATAAAACTAATTGCAGAAATTAATATACTAGAAAACAAATGATGGAATAATTAAAGCCAGAACCATTTCCTGAAAAGAAAATAAAAAACAATGAAACAGGTTAACCACTTGCTAATCTAATTTAAAAAACACCCAAATGCACAAAATTAGAAATTGAGAAATAACCACAGTTACAGAGTAAATGAAAAGGGTAAGAAAATACTTTGTTGTATCCCATAAAACAAATTTGAAAACTTAAGGTATTTCTCTACAAAACAAATATTACCAAAACTGATTGCAGAAAAATGAGAATATATAAACCCACCAGTTACCATAGGGAAAAAAAGTATAAATTTGACCAAAAAATAGCTCAATCACACAGTCTTGTGTTAATTCTACCAACCTTCAAGGAAAAAAATCAAACCAATGTTATTTACACTTTCTAGAATCTGGAAATCTAGAGAATAGAGAGAGAAGAAAAGATTCTTGCATTACATTGATACTAAAACCCAGCAAACAGAACAGAAAAGCAAACTAGAGACCAATCTCATCTGAGAATACAGATGCAAAAATCTTAAATAAAATATTAGCAAACAGAATCTAAGAGGATGTTAAGAAATATAATACACCATGATCAAGTGGGGTTCATCCTAGAAATGTAAGACTGGTTCAATAATAAAAAATCTACTGATATAATTGACAACATTAATAAATCAAAGGATAAAAGGTACATAACAATTTCCCTAATGCTAAAATGTATTTGATAGCAATTCAACATCATTTCCAGATTAAAAAAAAACCTAACAGAAAAAGATGTCTATTTCCATAATACCATCATTATCATCAGACTTTTTTTTTTAAGTCAAAAGTCAATATTGTGCTTAATGGCAAAACACTAGAGGTATACCCACTAAAAACAAGAACAAGGCAAAGGTGCCCACTTTCCCCACTAATATTTAATACTGTTCTGAAAGCAATAGTGCAATTTGACAAAATAAAGATGTACACATTGGAAGAAGGGTATATCTTCTCATTATGTATAGATGACACAATTATTTATCTGGAAAATTCATCAGAAACTTTTTTTTTGAGACA